AAATTCAACAATAAAAACATGTATAGATTATACAATATAATAATACTTACTGTTAAACAAATTATTTGTGCCAGTAGGTTTAAAAATATACTTAAATTAAGTATTGCAATGCTAGAATACTAGTTGAAAAGGCTATTCTTTTAAGAAATTGTGAATTTTCAGAATATGAAAAGAACTGGAAAATTATTTGTGATATGCTTTAATGTATTTACTTCTTCGAATTTATACTCAAATGTAAAAGTATGGTAAAATAGTGAAAACTGTTCCACCACTTCACCCTTTTTTTTTCTCTTTGTTTTTTTTTTCCTTCCTCCACCCATCCCTTTTGTTTACTTCTTTGTATATAAAGCTTTCACAATGAAGATTCATAATATACATGAATGTCATATATCTTTTGCAGCTTTATGAAATGAACTTGTATTTAGTATTTACCAAAGAGAATCTGTATTAAGTATAATATAAATTACATGGAAAAAAAATTGAAAGTATGTATTGAATGTAAACAGATCTATTGTACGTAGTCTGTAAATGTGAAAGCAAAAATAAATTCTATGAATTAAAAAAAATAACACTCTAAAAAACCTATCAATACCACACCAGGTTGTTTCAAAATATTCAGTACAGTCGGAAGGACATGGCTATACATAGCTAAAAAAGACCAAAAATGTTTAAAATTAGAAGAAATTGGAAGACGGAAAGCACTCATAATAGTGGTAGGTTGATAACGATTGTGACAACATTTGTCTGGAAGGGACGAAGAGGGATAAGTCAGCTTTATTAAAGTCAATTTCACCAGATGTTCACTATCTGCCTTTGATTCACTAAAGGATTCAAACTAAACATTTTTTATTCTACACAAACGTTTCTATCAGTTCATTCCTAAGTATATATACAGTAAACGTCTTTCTCACTGCAATGGAATACTATTGATTTTACATATGGATAAGTAGTGAAATATTTGCAGATTAACTTCAAAGCTAATGAAAAAGGGAAGATAACAGACAGTGATCGATCTAAAAATAATCTATAAATATTACAACATTTTGAACAATTAGGGCTTAAACATGAACTCCTTTTTATTGAGATTGGATCAGGTGTCAGTCTTATGTACTGATTAGGGGAACGAACATTCCGTAGTCAAGCCCAGTGGAAAAAGAAAGATTGACCCATTTAATCAACAAAGTTCAAAATATTCAACTTGGAGTACATTTATATAAAAATTTATTCTTAGTCAGAGTAGGATCAAAATATCAATATCTGTTTTGAAAATATATTCTCGGAAATTTCATTAAGCAACCATACCCCCTCCTAATCCCTCTATAAATAAATTGTAATGAACGTACGCGTTGATTGAAATTCGGAAACTTAGTATTGTAATTATCAAAACTAATTTTAAAAAATAATAGGAATAACAGCAATAATACAAATGTTCAGGAAAATTTTTGCTTTTAGTCTTTTAAGCTTATCTTCTTTAAAATTTAGATATCACCTTCTTTGAAGATTTATATACGAAAACAATCTCAGACACCCAATTCTATTTATGTTTTCTTAACAGTAAAGGAGATATTTCCGCTTACACGGATAAATCTAATATTAGCTAAGTTGACTTAATTATTTAATTAATCAACATTCTAGATACATTTCAGTCACATTAAGGATTGATTCGAGCCTTTCAATCATAACATTGACAAAAATGTATCATATTCACCACGATGCGTGTACAGTCAAGTAATTTGTAATGAGTAGTTTAATGTACATAATTTAAATTATTAAGTCTCCTATAACAATGATAAACTCTATATTCAAAATCCATATTTTTTTTCAAACGTGTTTTTATTCTTTTTTCACTAAAATAAGATATCAGTGTTACTTACTTGCAATATTTCAAAGTATTGAAAGAACTGAAAACCGGGCTTTAATTGCTCGAGTATCTTGTCTGATCCAAAAACATGAAAAATAGTACATAATTAATTCATTTCCTTTTGGCCATTGATTTTTAACAGGCAGAGTTTTTTATGATTGTGATGTAAAACAATTAATATCCCATACACCAGCAATTATGTAAACAGTCCAGACACCAAAAATATGTTATGAATTTTAAAATTTGATAAATAATTTCTCCAAGAAATCCTCCATATTTTTCTATTCAAAAGGATTTTTTTCTCATTATTTAAAAATCAGTCTTGGATTAGTTAAAACAATGCACATATGTATTTTAACATTCTTTTAGTTTCAAACAAAAAGGTACTTTTATCGCCAGCTATATGTAGAAACACTGATACATGTACATTGTCTAGCGACTTCACACATGTTAATTCTTTAAATTCCAATTCACTATACTATTAATTTATTAAAAATCAAAACTACTAACATCAAATCGACGAAAATGGTATGAAATATGAAACTCTTCAACAATTTCAACATTTCGAAAACCCCGCGCTATTGAAATTAGTTTGCCTACAATGTGCATTCAGCAGCGTATGTGAGCAAATTGTTATATCACGATTATTCGAAAAAAAGCAAATATCTAAAGTCTCTTTCAGTTTAATTCTCGAGCAAACATATTTATCATTAACTTCTCCAAAGATTGGTATGTTAACAATATACAGCTAAACAAAATTTTTAAACTCACATGGTTTTTCGCACAAATTAAGGTCACATTGTTATAATGCAAAAATGTGTGATGTGACAATAAAATATATTTTAAAAATGATTTATAACTTTATTTTGACCAAATCCCTTTAGATTAAACATAATTCACACATAATAATTGGTAGGATTTTTATGGCTCTTGGATAATATTTTATGAGAGTTTAAGAGTTGTTTTTTCATGGTTTCTCGTCAAATGCAACCGTCTTTGTATCCGTTCATTTTAAAGCCTAATTTTGCCTTGCCTTAATACAGAAAGTGTAGTTCATGTAACTTTTGTATTTCCTGTTTATTAATATGACACCAAAGTGCAAGATGACAAAAGTATTTCTCGACTGTTCGACTGCATTCCGTCTTAAAACATGGCATTTTACAGATTCACTTTATAAAATCTAGCAACATGAGAGATACCTTCCAACGCAAAATTTCAAAGTTTCAGACCATAAATGTAAAAGAATTTTCATTTCAATGTTTACAATTTACTTTGTTGAAAGATAAACAATACTTTATTATCCTATCCTTTTACATGGTTTCTTTATGCAGTTTTGTCATTTTTCGGCGCTCCATTTCGACAAAACCAAGACAAGCATGGAAAATGTGCAAACTACATAGTAAAATACTTATCTGTAAGAAGTCAATTTGAACATTTCAACCAAATAGTGTCAAAGAAAGTTCGATTTATTGATTTGTAAAACCTACGATAGAATCGTACTCATTTAACATCATACAATTTATAAACAAATTTCCTTTTAGAAAATTGACTTTCAAAACTTAAGATAATAATTTTAGAGAATATGCACCTTTCACATTAAATATTTAATGATATAAGGGTTATGTCTCGTACTGAACTTCGATAATTTTAAGTTTTATTACAAGAACAATGTGACCTTAATTTGTGCGAAAAACCATGTGAGTTTAAAAAGTTTGTTGAGCTGTATATTTATTCTTTTGAATATCGTCTCGCAATGGGACTATTTTGTTTATCGGAAACGCATGCTTTGGTGCTGTTTGGTTTTTTGTTTACTGTGCTATTTATAGTAAGACAGTCGATCATGATGCCTAAAGCTTCAGCTAAGCCCGGCAAAAAATAGATTAAGTACAATACTGTAGAGAGTATTTGGACAAACAGTTTATTAAGACATATTTACCAATTATGGTTAGTGGAATAATAAAAGATAGTATATCTTTGTGATACATAAAGATTAGCCTTCAAACTGGCCAGGTTAAATAGAAAATTTTACAAATTAGAACATAAATTTTGGAGATAAAAGTATACATTTTGACAGGTTTCAGTATAAATTATACAGATTAAAATGAACAATCTACAAAATAGAATAGAAAAACAACAGATTAAAATGTATATTTGAAATCTAATATCCATCTATAAAATTTACCCATTAATATGTACATGAATAATACGTATGAACAATTTCTAAAACGAGGTAAGTTATTGTCAAGCAAGTTGATGAAACAAGAATATCAGCAGTCTCGTTTAAAGTCATCAGCGTGATAGGGTAATATAAAATGGAGTTCTATATAAAACAGTTGAAAACATTGATTGTAAAGTGTTAAACATGGGATAAAAAGAATCTCCCATGATTTGTGGTTGGGTATGAATTAATTCATCTCCTTGTGTGTTTTTATGAAATACAAAATGCACAACGAGTTGGATAATAATCATATCAAACTACAAATCATGGGAAACCCTCTGTTTACATCATGACCGTATACCATCACCTATTGAATTAATATGCCAAATTCAATCATAAAGAATACGGAAAAAAAGTATTTGAGAATTAGGCTATAAGCTAGTGTTGGTCGTTCTTTTATAACAGTACATGTACCTAAAAGTCTACAAAGTTTCACATATCATAAGTATAAGGCAAAATGGGTATGATCAAGTGTTAATTTGTCATAAAAGCCTTCATATGTTACAGCGGTAACATCACAATTTTGCTACGATGCTCAACCCGTAGAATTCATCGATAAGATTATTTTCATCATAGAATAAAAAGGAAACATTCCAATTTCTTACAGAATCTCGCCTTCTATTATTGAGTTTGACTACTGTTTGCCTCAGCTATTTTGTCAATAGCCAAAATATTCATACAACTCTATTCAATGCTCAATATAGATAATCATACTTTTTACAATATAAAGTTGTCCCTCTTGTTGTAATAGTGGAAAGCAGACTGGCATATTTCCAAACCAATTTCAAAGACATTCACAAATGGGCACATGTGAAAAACACTCAAAATAACAGAGAAATTTCACATTCAATTTTTATTCACCTTTTATTATTTCAAATACAGAGAAGAGGATAAAAAATATAAAAAAAAAATTGTTACAATTGCATATATTTGATAAAGTATTCTGGTAAAAACATGTACATTCAATGACATTCAATCAAGGCAACAATGCAAATGAGAAATGAATATCGTATACAGTATGTATTGTAAATGTCTAAACATTGAATACAAGAAGAAAATATAAACAAAATGGCACCATATCACAGTGAAAGGTATTTTAATAACATATGACAAGATAAAACTACCAAGTGCCATACACATGTAGTTCTGGATTTTGGTCTTTGTTTAATAAACCACACCCCTGACATTGCTTCCGCTAATTTTGATTGATTCTCCTTTAACTACTGTTGGTTCGTAGCCATTTCGTCTGTTGTCGTGAGCATGCGCCTAAATACAATAAAATATAATATAGAGACAGCTTTGTCAACTAAGCACAATCTACAATCATCATTTTAATCCAATCAAAAGTCAAGTATTTTTTTGATGTTTTGTTTTAAAAACAATGTCTAAGCTACATCACGACTATTGCATAACAAGCGAGATCTTTCAATGACGCTTGAGACATTTTTAGCACAAAAACACAGAGGTAGTACAACTTTAGTGTGACAATAATTTGCATGTCACTCTGTCATTATAGAATCAAATTTCTAATAACGAGCAACAACCTTTTCACTAAAGTTCGTCTTCCTTTTATGTCTGCACACACAGAAGACAATGAGAGCGATGATGATGATGAGGAGCAGTGCCCCGCCCACCGCCAGCCCGGCCACTGCCTCGGCGGTCAGGGGGCACGGCCTTGTACCGTCCCCGCAGTGATCCAGTCCGGAACAGCGCAGGTTCTCGTTGATACACCGCTGGTTGTTACAGGTGTATTCATTGGATGCACAAGGACCTGAATTAAAGATATTTAATATTTTAAAGGTGCAAAGAAAAGAGCAGACGTTTCTCTAATATTTTTAACTGAATTTTTTTTTTCTTTCATAACTGCTTTGAAATCTAATACTTGAATTGTAAATTTTAATTGTAAGATTTGAAAGAATCAAAGAGATACATTACAAGATGAAAGAAGTATCCTGTCTTATTTTGTATACAACATATAACTAGTGCTAATTGTAACGGGAACCGTTACAGATGTTCCCCAAACGCTCCCCAACTTCATTTTGGTGCATCATTCCCTCTAAGCTTCATCAAATAAACTAAACTCTATGCATCTTAAACTTAAACAACGTTTTTCCTAAAGTATACCAAGTATATAGCAAATTTTTGCATTGCACGTGCGCACACTTGCATGCATATGCGGAATGACCATATCATTGTATCTACACTATTAATTTAAATGTACTTAATATCAAGGCATTCAAAAAGTATTCAAAAATACGCTAAATCAAGTGCGTTTGTATTTATACATATTGCACGTGCACGCACGTGCATACATATGCATGTTGACCATACCCTCTTGTAGGGGTCCATTACGACTATCTATGTTCTAAATCCCATCCTGTTTGGCTTAAAACGAAGGGAGTTATAGGCATTTAAAGTTTCAGCCAATCAGATTGAAGTGCACGTACATGCGCGTAATTTCATGAAAATTATTTTATATCATATCGTAGGATATCTTAATGCATGACTATGTTTTAAATTTCAAAGTATTTCGTCAAAAAACGAGTAAGATATTGAGATTTTTGTTTCAGCCAATCAGAGCGAAGCGCACGTGCATGCGCGTGAGTTCATGATAATTTGACCATGTCCTCTTGTCTATAATACTAATATATTCTTATATTCTGAGTTTCAACACATTTCATCAGAAAATAGAACAGTTACGACTATATCAATTATATTGGTCATTTTACATGTTGCACGTGCGCGCTCTTGCAAGCACGTGCGCGCAAAATGACCTTGATTCCGCAAATCTACATAACATGTCTACTTACCCTAAAAAGATTTTACTTACATCAGATGAACAGTTTACAAGATCATTCGCGGACAAATAAGTACCCAGGAAGAAGAAAAATAATAATAAGAAACAGAGTAAAAACAATATGTTCCCCAACTTCGTTTGGGGAACATAATAAGGGATACGGGAGCAAATCACTGACTTTAATAAATCTTAATGGACATCTTTTGACTATATTTACTAATGGGTAATTACTACGTATACGTCAATGTACGTTGCAAAATACACTTACCATCTTTGTAGGCAGTGATGAGGAGATCAAATCCCCTCCGTGCTACGTTGGTTTGACCACTGACAAATCTCAGAAGAAGGGGACCCTGTTGGGTCACGAAAGCCTGGGCTGGTCTGGACTGACCACAGATTTGCTGAGGTGTACCTATAAAGGAAAGAATATGTCGTTTATTTCTAATATTAGATATATGCTACTTTATAATCAATATTTCCATGGTTCCTCGTAGTATGTTTTCATTATTAATGAGTGCTTTTTTGGTGGTTATCTTAGTTATTGTTGCAATGCAATATTGTAATATCCTCATTAGAAGTACCATTGCAGGTACAAAATCTGATTCAGAGATTACAGTTCAAAATACCCGGTCAATCTTTAAAAGATTTACCTTGGAGAAGTCTAGCCGATTGGTCTTGTCCATCAATGGCTATCAGAGCGTCCACACACTGTCCAGTCTGTAACTGCTGGATGTCTACTTCATTAAAGCGGACGACAAGTTTTTTGCCCGGCGGAGGTTGAATGACCATGATACAGTTGATGTTTCGGGTATACGCAGGGTTTCTTGTGAGGCGAAGTCGGACTGCTTCGTGAGTTTCCGTGGCCAGATTAATAATATTGTTGACATTACATCTTTCTTCCATATAATCTATAAAAGAAATACAGACTCAAAATCAAATTTGAGAAACAGTAAAGCTGACGTTGACTAGTTTCAATCGAAATAATTTATAGGACTTCGCTTCGATGCTTAAACTTTTAATATAGAAACTTACATTCTGGAATAGCGTTGATAATTGTAAAGCTGGTTACAAAAAGCACTATTAAAGCCTCCACAACACAAAGCATCTTATTTGATACAGCATACATATTGTTATTCTGTTGAGAGCACTATATATATCGCACAAATATTATGGTATAACAAACGAGGTTCAATCAAAAAAGCGCACAATTTCTATTCCATAGCGAAAATAATTCTGAAAAATCAGTGGTCTTGTCCTTATACTTTCTAAGGTCGAAACTTTGATACCGGGTTATATTTACAGGTGGACTTATATATGTACATTATATGACTAATCTATTTAGAATTGATGGATGCGTAATGCAAGGAGCTACACTAACGGCTTATTCATTTTCGATAAATTGATCTGTGTCAATCAACATGTGAATGGAATTCTGGCGATGAGAGTTACTACAGATTTGTAATCAATTTAAATTGTTTTATGTTATTCGTCAGACATTGAACATGATACTTACGATGAGCAAGTCTATTACAATTTCAGGTCAATGTACTACTACGCATAATATTGTCAACAGAACCCTTAGGCAAATGGTATCAGCAGATTAAACATGTATTTTTCAGGCATGTATTTTTTGTAAAATTTGTTCAAAACATACCCTGAGGCACATTTTTTCCACTGTAAGACGTGTGAAGTAAACACCAAGAATACGTCATTTTCTAAGTATTGGTGGGTTAATTGTCTTGTGCAAAGAGGACATATGAAAATCTGTGTGATTTTCTCATATATGCTCATTTACAAAGCATTTAACAGTCAATGTATGATAAAACTGTTATGATGGTCATTTAAAATTGAAGTTAATTTTTCTTTTACTTTAAAATCGTTTAATATTTGCGAAGTACATGTACATTAAAATATGAAGTCATGATTTCACCCTCAACTATTTTTTCCCATTAGTAAATAATGACATACTTAATTTTTCAAAGAATGGATTGATGTGTATTTCTGTGATCAGATGTAATATTTTTAGTTTTCATTTCGGTTTTGTCTATTTCAATTGATTAATTAATTCTTTTTTATTGATTAATTGGTTTCATTTATTGTTTTATTTTTAATTGACAATATGCATATTAAAAAAATAAAATTAATTAAAATATAACTACTGATTAAAAAAAATTTTCGAGACTTATAATCTTAAATTCGATAACTTGGCTTTCGAAAGTCTTCTGATACGATAATTTTTAATAAATAAATAAAAAATATATATATATATATATATATATATATATATATATATATATATATATATATATATATATATATATATATATATATATATATATATATATATATATATATATATATATATATATATATATATATATATAGAATATTAAGAAAGTTTTAATTGAAATATTAAATTAAAAATATTAAATTAATAAAAATAATCCACTGCAATTAATCTACACTTTATTTTAATACGATATATATAGAAAAAGAATATCAAAAATTCAAACGATTATCAAGCTAAGAGGCCTCAATTCTAACCCATATAATTACATGTAGGATCTAGAATTACGGTATTATAGCATTGATCCGCCAAATCAAGGCCGAAAATGGCTAATCAAAGTTTATGGGTATACTTTCAACGATGAACTGAATGGTCCTTGTTTATAAACAATTGAGTGTCCATATTTAATGAGATAATAGCAAAAGGATAAATTAGGGACGGGATGTGTTTTCGGTTTTGTTTTAAATTTACACACTCATGGGAACAACATTGTCAAAATCTTCAACGATACACTCCCAAAAAAATTGTCCACGTCCTGACTCGAGACTAAAGATAGATTTTTTGTTAAAATAATTCTTGGGTTAAATCAACAAAAAATTAAGGTAGAGCATATGAATGATAAATATGACGGGTATGTTATTCCGATAGTCCATTGACCTCTCCGTTAGTAATCAGATCTATTCATAATGAGAGAGAGAGAGAGATTCATTAATTAAATATATATGCTGTCCATATACATGTACATACATGTGATGAAATTCCTGCGAAATGAGATGTATGTCTGTATTCCTCCCACTGGCTTTCAACAAGGGGGCTATCAAATTACTACAAAACAAAACCAACGGAACTTTGAAGTTACTTGGTAGTATTCTGCACCCTGCTTGACTTTCAGACGACAAGTCAGACATATTGTGGGTGGTCTTACCAGGGTTGTGTTTTTTAAAAACCAAAACAATGTCTCTTTCATTGTTATCAGATGTAGTAAAGATAACTCCATTGTAGGCGACTTTATGTTTCATTCAGAAAGTTTACTAAATCTTCGCAGGGGAGCACCAACGCAGGTTACATGTATTTGTATAAATATGACGGAGGAGCACACTATTTCCTCAGAAAATCAAGTTTACAAAATCGATTTTTCAAAGTTTTCCTACAATATACACTTATTTTATCAAGCTGCTGAAATTCTACCATCGTTGAAAGAATATTACTTCTTTATTTATTGATTCAACAGCCTTAAAGGGACATTTTCTTCAACACTTTCTTTTAGTGTTTTCATTCAATGTTTATCGCCGAAAAGACATTTCGTTTTTTTCTCTAAGGATATAGAAAATTTAACACCTTCCAAACAAAAATTTCTGTTGCGAGGCAAAAGGAATCTGATCGGCATGGCGATAGTTCTCCCAAGAATCAGTGCCCAGTTCAGTGTTTTTCTAAAGCAGGAGAGAGAAGAGGAAACATCATTGAATGATTTTACTTCAACATGCAGAAAGAACACATCCAGAGAAGAAGCAATCGGACTGTTTGGATGGCCTTCTATTCATTCAAACATTATGCAATGCAATGAATACATCTATTCCAGTAAAAAAGAGGATAAATTTTGAAAAAGGCAACATAATATAAATTTTCTTTCTCCCAAAGGTAAATGAAAGACTAAAAGCACGGAGAAGTTCATTTGACAATGGTCTTGAATATTATCAGATGTGAGATTAAATGTGATTTATTATTTATTTATTTATATGAATATTATTTATTGTTCAAATGCCAATATACGGGTTGTTTTCAACTTGATTCGTTGGAATAAAATTTCTATTAAAAAAATTCTGAGATTCATACTTTGCAAATGGGAAATTTGGTTTTCTTTTTTGAATTCAGCGAATCTGGAAGAGTGGTGTGATAAGAAAATGAACGCTCAACAATAGGTAAAATAATTATTTTTATGATATATTATATAATTATGTAACGTTTATTTGTGAGTCTATTTCACACACTATGACATTTTTACATCTACATGTAACTGAAATGCTTCGACTTTAATCATTAGGATTGTTTGCTGTAGTAATTTAATTAATTCTTTCATTATTTATCTCTTATTTTGAAAAAGGATTAAAAACTTTCATTTGAAACTAAGTGATTCAAAAAATTATACTGTTTACGAGTCATATTATGTAGACGTAAAACAACCCGAGGCAAAATTGTACAATTTTAGCTATGGTTGAATAGCAAGAAACTATTTTGTAGCTCATTAGATGGTGACCAATGCGAGTAAAACATTAACCTTATAATACTCAGTTACATTCTAAACTAGAAGTACTGTGAACACTGAGCTCTCTAAATGATACATCGACCTCCTATATGAATTTTAAAGGGACATGGACACATTCAACTGAATTTTTAAACCAAATGTAATGCTGCTAATTCCTAATACAAAGGCATCATCTAATGATTAGCAAAAGTTTGAACATCATTTATTGATTAACAAACGAGATACATTACTTCAAGTTCTTCAAAATGTAAACAGGGCTCGTGCCTTGTTTTTGTTTACATATAGAAAATATCTTATTTAAAACAAAATGAAATTCAGCAAACCACTAGAAACTGTCGAATTGTATTCAGAATTAACTTGTTTAATAAAAGTATCTGCTTTGAACGAACATATATATTAACCTGTAAACGAAAACATGACAAATACCTTGTTTACATAACAAAGGTTTAGAGCTCTAAATCTGACTTGTATCTTTACAACTGAAGTTCATATTTTTGATTATCATTAGAAATACCTTAGTTAAGTATTGGTAAAAATGGAAAAATAAATTAGAATTTTTTTGGCTGAAACTGTGTCCATGCGCCTTTAATGGAAAATTCATGTTTTGCTCTGGGGGCTCAAAATAAATTTCGGATCAAAAAGTAAGATCGAAGTTAAACAATGGTATAAGTACGAATGAATCTGTGAAGTATCATTAAATTTAATTTAGTGGTATAGGAGGAGTTGAGGATAAGAGATGGGTACCATTCAGTATTATGAAAGCATGGCAGTGTGAATGTTTCGCTATGGGAAACCCAACCTGTAAGTCGATTCAAAAAGTAAGAAGGATATTCACAATGGCACTATGTAACAAAGAATCTTTGAAAGTCTCATTAAATTTCACTAGATTTCACTATTTACTTTCCCACTTTTTATTCAAGGATGGGGTGTTAAAACGGCATTTATTGCATATTATTAATTGCAATAGAAACTCTAGAGGTATGTTTTGTGAGCAATAAAAATGATAGCCCCCGCCTCCAAATGTGTTACAGTATTAGATTTATTAATTTATTTAATAAATCTGTAATATATTTCATGTTTTTAATTTGTAAATAAATGTATTGCTATAAAATATTTAAAGGTCACCCAGGTATAACAGGCAGTACCTGTACTTAATTATTATTGGCTTGGGTTATGAAGGTTCTGGTCTTTGGTTGGAAGTATTCATCATTTTCATTGGTTTGGACTTTGTAAGGTTGAATTTTATTGGTTTTATTTTTTTCCCTCGAAAAGTTGTTGTTTGTTATGGTCATTCTTTGTCCAGTCTTTCAGTAGAGAGGGCTATATTTACAAATTTGCTAATTTAGACTTTTTACATTGATTAAGACGACATTTCTCTCAATTAAGGTAAGCTTACACTTATATATACTAATTTTAATATGATTTCTAATATTTGATTTAACTGTAAAGTCTGTAATTTTGCCAAAATTAATTCCATAGCACTTGCACAGTCAGAATCTGATTTGAGAGATAGTATTTAAGAGTAACTGTTTTATTGATACAGATAGTAGTTTTTAATTTAAATATGTAGATAATTATATGTTTACATATGTAAACTATGATAATTTGTAGTGTTTTGATCTGGACCATGTGAGCCATATAATTCACACTCTTATGAAAGGGAGAGGCTCGATCCCATAGATTGGTATGATATTAT